CGTTGTGATGGTACAGACGAAATAGAATATCTACTTGGTCAATGGACAGGTGACATTTGATCGGAACACATTCAGACGCTGTGATGGTACAGACGACATTGAAGAACATCAGCTTTGTCATATGAACAGGATGCATACAGATCAGAACACATCCAGACGTTGTGATTGTAAAGACGGACAGAAAAACATCAGCTTGGTCATATGGACAGAAGACATTTGATCGGAACACATCCAGACGTTGTGATGGTGCATACGACACAGAAGAACATGAGCTTGGTCATATGGACAGGATACATTCAGATCACAACACTTATAGAAGTGCCAATTATTAAGCCAATAATGACAAAGCACTTGATGATTTCTCAATTTCCCCGTGTGAATGTCAAAATGCTATTTAAAGTATGCCTTTTATCAGATTACTTGACTCTTAGTGCGGAAGACATCTGTGAATTTTGAAATCCAGTGGACTTTGTGAAGAAAGAGGCAAGAAAAGCGAATGATACAAGCTTTGGTAAACATGCTCCCAGACAAGGAGAGAACACAGGAAAAATGGTGCACAAGAAAACAGTATCTGCGAACAAGACTGGGTATACCTTTGCTGCTAATTAGGTTAATACAGATAATACAGAGGAACAGACACAAGATGAACACACAGCTGGTGACCAGAGAGGCAGGAATTGTAGTTTATACCACTATCAAACACGATCATTGATGAATCCCTGTTTGTATTGTGATGCGCAACAGCACAAGTTTTGTCAGGTGTGACAATATAACAGGGAGACCTTATTCAGATATACTTTCTTTTCTGAAAACAATAGGTCTGTGTTCAGATGCCTGGATAGAGGTCGTTTTAGTAAGAGTTGTGGATTCAAGGCCACTTGGAAGCTGTGTCAAGGTCGACATCAAACTTTACTACATGCTGAGCACCAAGGCTGTGTCAAGGTCGACATCAAACTTTACTACATGCTGAGCACCAAGGCTTTCAATAATTCTGAACAGTACTGTGAGATGGATCATTCTGTGAAATGTTTCAAGTTTCAATTTCAAGTGCCTGTGCACAACATCCGAGTGTATTTTATTCTGATATCGGGGTCAGTGAGATTTATTGTACTATTGCTATCTGTGACAAGGATCAGATTGAGCCCCCCCCCCCCCCCCCCCCCCAAAGTGGCATTTTAATGGCTTTTGTACGTTGAAAATGTAATTCCTGTGGGTTATTAGTTACGTTCTAGGCGATAACAAAATAACCACTTGGACCTTTATTTTAACACATGTTCGTAAACTGCAAACTCTGCATCACCTCATGATGGTATTATTATTCATGTTAGTTGAAATGCTAATCCATAACAAAAGATTGAAGTATGATAACAAAGGTTGGAAAACCCAGCAGAGCAGAGGTGCGTACTCCAACGTCCTCGCTTTGTCGCATCTCTCTTATAAAATGTTTATGTGATTCTGTGAGAAATTCAGTTGTACTGCCGCGTGTGTTCCCCGGAGAAATTCCAAGGCTGGAGTTGTTGCCAATCTGTGAAGATATAAGCTGGTGATGTTTGAACCGATGTCCATGACACTGATTTTGTCATTGTGGGAGCTGTATATTCCTGTTAGATTTAATACCCTCTGTGTATTTAGATCAGGGCAGTTGTATTTTAGTACTAACTAGTTTGCTATCAGTGTTGCTAAGTTGTGACTATTCACCTGGCAGCTGTATTTCACGTTGTGTGAGTTCACCTTGTATCTGCTTAAAGATTATCTACTTAAAGATTTAATGCTTTAGCTTGGTTTATTGATTAGTGTTAATAAATCTCTATACTTCAGTTTAGTTAATCTTTATCAATACCAATCGGTCATAAATGTGAATATATTTTTCGTCTTCTCAAGGGTGTATACTCACGTCCTTTCGCTATTCGTAGTCATCATCTGGTCTGTCAGACCATCGGTCAATCCGTCCGTCTGTACGTCGTTTCCGGAACATAACTTGAAAACCGTGAAAGATTTTTCATGAAAAGTTAGTACATGTGTTATCCAGAGGCTGAATTGGTGCGTTTTGCTATATTGGACTTTTTCAAAATATCATTTTGCCCTGTTCCATGGAAACAAGTCAGGCAGCTGGAACCGAGGGTGGTGTTGTTTCCGAAGCAGAACTAAAAGCTTATTCAAGATTTGTCATCAAAACTTGAGACATGTATCAATTAGGGGCTGCAGTGGGGCTTTTTTCTTTTTAGGAATTTTAACATTTATAATTATGTTCTGTTTCCATGGCAAGAAGTTTAATTTTAACTCAGTTCATAGTGGTGTGTTTGTCCTGATTATATCCCTAAAACAAATAGGTACTCTTTTTTAAAACTGCACACACCAAACTCAGGCTTTCGACTGGTGGCTATTGCTATTTAACTATTTTTAGAATTCGTATTGTTCCAAGTTTGACTTAAGTGTGTACAAAAGAAGTACAAAGTTCGGATTCCCAATTCCGTTGTATTGTCTTGATAGCTCACTAACTACGCTTGTATACGGATAGACAGATTAGATAGAAATTCTCTAATTAAGTTGGACTTAAAGTAACAGTCAGGTGATTTGTACTTTCGAATTTGTGGGGGCTGGGGGATTTGTCATCGTCTGATGACTCGTGGTGACAATTTCAAGTCGGCGTCTCAGTGGGTTAGACGGCGACTTTTTCTGTAGAGAGCATTTAAGACATGGACTTGTTATAAAGGGAAACGAATGGAAATCACGATTGACAGTATGGGAACTCCACATACAATGCAGACCTATTTTCTGGAAGTCTGTGATTTACAAACTGAATCAGAATGCCCAAGATCTAACCAAAAATACATGTGTCCAATAGTCACATACCTACATTTGATGATATTTCTATGTTCTGTGAAGCACCGTACACATGCTCCATAACCGCGCACATGCGCCATAAACACATGGCAATCAGAATCATGCACTCGACTCTGCTTTTCGCAGAGAATTTTTCTACTATGGATAAGGTTATATGTAGAGGCAGTACGCTCGTTTCACAGCTCTCAGTTTTTCACGAAATTCATGCTTTTATCATTAGACTACAGACACTAAAAATTGCCATAGGGTTTGCAAGCCATTTCTGGACATTTTTTCAAATTGTCATGAAGTTTAAACATTTTGGAAAATGTGGATTTATTTTTACTATTTTGTTATCAATCTCAACTATTTCAAATATCAAGTGTAAGTTCTATATGACCAAGTCACCCACAAGCCGAGACTCCCTGGCCGGCTCGCTCCCCTGATCTCTCACCAATCGAGCACACGTGGGATGAGATTGATCGGTGCCTTCGACGTCAACCACGCGTTCGACAGACACTCCAGGAACTTCGAAACATGCTCCAGCAGAAGTGGACAGGATATCCGCAACGCCTGGTCCATTCCATTAGACGAAGATGTGCTGCTTGCATCTGAACCAGAGGTGGATATACATGCTATTGATTTGTAAATTGACATTTTGGCATGTCCATGTTTTTTATGAAATCACACATTTTCTTAAGTCAGTATGGCAAATTAAACCATTTGAACACTTACAGTAGTCTTTTATCTGTTGCAAACCGAAATTGTTTCAGATTTGGTAAAAAACATAACTTTGCATTAAATCTTATTCAATGTCACAGGAACTTTTGTTGTTCAGTATAGTTTGTAGAGATTAAAATTTAAAAAATGCAGCAAAGAGGGTTTGAGTGATCCTGGCACAGTCAGGCTGGTTAGGCTCATCATCAGCTCAGGGCTCTTGTCCCCTCTACACGCAGCCCAGAGAGCGAATGGGATTTCTCCCAGGAAGCGCTGTCTAGTCGAATCCTCCAAGAACGTTTCAGAGAATTTGAAGACTCCCCACAACTGCAGCCTTCTGCATTTCCCAGATTGTCAGAATTGCTGTATGCCTGGCTGCAAACCCGGGTACTCTCAAAATGTCTGTCAACAGATTTGGAGGTACCAAACCTAAGGCACTGAGAACAATGGGGAGTTGGACAACTTGGTACTTGGGATGCAAGCGTGACATTTCAAAAGTTAGGTCCGCATATTTGCCATGTTATTCCTGAATCTTGCCAATCATATAAGTGTCAGAAAATTCAATCAAATAAATTATCCAAAAAGGACAAGATCAAGTTTTTTTGGCCTGGATACGCCTGAGGCTGTAAACGGGCCTATTCAAAAGCAGTTTGTATTTATCATTTGCCATGACGCCTTCTACATATTCTGCGTCGTACCATGGATGGACCTCTGTTTCAAAACCACAAGCATGACAAAGACGGAAATAAAATGATCGAGCTACACCATCATGTCGCTTAAGAAACTGTGTTTGTGCCAAAGCTGGGCATCCACTTACATTGTGTTGGACAGTTTCATTTAATTCATTACATAATCTACATTTCATATTTACATTTTGATGCAAAATCGGACATTGACGGTTTCGAGTTGGAAGTGACTGATCCTGAGCAGCAAACAGAAAGGCTTCTGTTTCACTTATAGGGCCAGTCGACTTCATCCAAACAAAGGACTCAGATATTCCGATGGCCTCTCCTTGAAAAACTGAGTATGGGCCGATTTTGATATGTCACTTTGCTTGGTTTAAAATCATTTCTGTACTGTCCAGCAGTACTGAACCATCAACAAAATCAACACTGACATTGAGATTGTCTCACATTTTTAGCTTGTTTACGTGAACTGTGGAATGTCTTGTTTTCATCATGAGTATTGACATGCTTCACAAGAGGATCATCAGACAAATAAATGTGTGCGAAAGTGCACAAAACAATTCTATCATGAAGAGCCCCAACGTTAATCAAACCACGCCCTCCATTATGATTGGTAAATATAAGCGATTGAGGGAAGAGCGAGGGTGGTGGGATCTATTATCTGACATGATTCTTCGTGTGAGGGTGTTTCGTCCAATCAACAACATCAAAAGAATATGAAAGGACAAGTACAGCAGAAGTATTTGTGGCTTTAACTATATTGCGAGTGCTCAGCTCTGAACTCCAGATTTTCTTAAGCCTACATTTGTACCCTGCCCGAATTTTTTCCTTGATATTGGCATTCTGGGGTTTGTCCCTAACCTGCATCCCTAAGTACGTATAGGCCTGACCTTCCACGAGACGGTCAGTAACTCTTCCTCCAAGTAAGCTGACTGATCCTCCCTCCTCTACCTCTACGTTTCAGATGACGAATGTTACATTTGTCGAGGCCAAAGGACATGCCGATATCATTAGGAAAGTAATTGACAAGGAGAATCTGTTTTCTTAGAGTGGATCCTCCATTGGCAATAAGTTCAAGGTCATCCATGTAAAGTAGGTGAGTAAGGGGTTTTGGGCATCTGTGCTGACCTCAATAATGAGGGACCACTTATTATAGTTCGTTATAACGGTAGTTCGTCACATGCACATATACACCATATGTACAGCAAATGGACGGGTCCCCAAAACAGTTCAGTAAAAGTTAATATTTGAGCAATAGATCAGATTCCACAGCATAATGAAGTGTCATATCAGGCATTGCAAAGACGTGATGACTGAGGCAACGAAAACACAAGAATCCCAATAACAAGCTAATGTTGGTTTTACATATACCAGAAACTACTGTATCATACATCCACATCCACAAAATGTATACTGCGTCAAAAAGAGATTCTGTATGAAGGTTATTACATGTTCTTTGAGTGTTTTTCAATTACAGCGACTTCAATAACACAGACCAGACACAGTATTGAATCCATAGAACTATAAGATTACATACTTTAAACTTATTCTAAAGTTCATCGAGTTATGAATAGCGAGGGCAGTTGCTGTTTCCTGAAAAATGTCTTCATGTACAGTACTAAATCCGACTGATAAACACGATGGAGGGTGTGCACATAGTTAATACTTCATGACTGAATCCATATCCCACCTTCACACGTATGGTTCTCTTTACCATTTTCTTGCCACTCAATCCGTTTGTCAATAATTGGTCTACAAATTGTGTGAGGACCCAATAGATTGGCTGTTCTCCTCAGAGTCCTGTCAGTTGTCTTGTCTACCATATGTGCGGGGATATAATAGTATGGCTGTTCTCATGTTAGTTGTCTTTGTCTACCAGTTGTTGATTCTGTTTCGGGCTTTTCTTCCTCTACACTTGTCACAGAGGAAGAGGACGATGCACACCAGTAGCTCCGTGATCTCCATGATTGTCAAGATGCTAGCTCCAAGGCACAGTCCCGTCTGACCCCCGATATTGGCTGTAAAACAACACCCACATTGCATGGACATCTACATCAATAACAATCATTTAAACTCGTGTGGTTAACGCGTTCGCTCGTCACGTCGAACGTCTGGGGTCGATACCCTACAGGTGTACAATGTGTTCTGTCCCCCACTGTAAAATGCTGGAATATTGCTAAAAGCAGTGTTAAACCAAACTCAACCATTCAGTCAATCAAACTCCAACATATCATAAGAGCTACATGGTCGTCATATGTTGCAGACATGTTACATGGAACTATGGGGGACATAATCCTGCTGTACATGTAATTTGGAGCTATACCAAAACACGTATATTTTTCTTGATTAAGAACTCTTTTGAAATTTTGAACTGTTGGTTTTGTAAGTTGGCTTTAACAGAATTAATAGTGTATCCTTTCATGACTAAGGGACGTAGCTAAACACAGTGAATTGCGACACTTCAGGAATTATCACATTGTCACCCTTCGAGGCCTTAATGATATAGAGTACCTTTCGCAATGGAGCAATACCACTTGGGAACAATAAACACTTACAAAACAGCGAGGCCACCGTATATTGAGGTTGTTGTGTGATGGATGTCACCATCATCTGGTCGTAAAACACTCTCAGCTCCAGGAAGTTGTCTCTAAATAACAGACAACATCAAATACTTAATTATCTGGGAGTTACGCCATCGATACTTTGAAAACCCATGATCATGGGCATGGCATTGACAGACTAAGGATCATAATCGAGGAAAAACTTGGATTCAAACCCACTATCGTGGCGCCAAAAAGTTACATCTTTGCAAAGACAGTTCCGGCACTTTCCTTGTCCCAAAACTTGTTTCATTGTCGACAGTAAATTTTCATTTGGTACGTTTGATCGTTTGTTTGACGCCGCACTCAACAATATTCCGGCAAAACGACGGTGGCCTGTGAATATTGAAGTCTGGACCAGACAAACCAATGATTGACATCATGATGATCTATCTACACACTTATGATACGATGATGTGCATCAACCAAGTCAGTGAGCCTGACCATCCGATGCCGTTAGGCACCTCTAACGACAAGCATGGGCTGCTGTAGACGTATTCTATCCTGGATCTTCACTGCGCTCAGATGGAAAGTCGTTTTTTGTTTGTTATTCAGTGAGGAAAACCATTCAGTAAGAACGTTCCACTGTACTATACATGCCTTATAATAACAACATTTAGGCATTAATGTTAAGATAGGATTAATGAGTTTTCAAGTTTGCAGCTGTTATTGCGTTATTCGATCTCCAGAAATGTAGTTTTGGGCGAAATTTATTAAAATTGAAACACTGGTTACAAGATTTATCGTGAGTATTTTGATATAATAGCTTTCAGAACATCAATGGCGAGCAACATAACAACCAAGGTTGTTTGTGTTTTGGAAAATAAAGGCTATACTGTACGGAAGTCTTACTGCATGCTCTCCTTAGTATGAGCCCTCGTGGTGTTGAGGAAATTGTTGACCCAGATGCTGGCTGGGAAGGAGCTGGAGGACACCTGGGCAGTGTATCTGTCAAACAGGCACTCGCTGGCACACCTGCATTCCCTCACGAAGTTACCGTCTTTGGACACTGATCCTTGTAAAGTAAAATAGCATTTATCAATGTATTATACCCTGTAACAACTTGGCTAGCCCTTGATTGTGGGTTCTGTTACAGGTACGGGAGTTGATGAAGAAAGATTTGCTTAATATTAAACCTTCTAATGTGGACATTACATGATGGCATCTGGGTATATAGCCTACAAAAGCTTGAGTCAGTTGAGCAATTGTTTCGCTGTGACAAGTCAGTAACATAAACAGGGGAATGTGACCTTTGGAAAATGGACAAACTTTAGAAATTTAAAGTGATTACTTGCAGATAAATGGGCTCAACACCAAAAGCCATAAAAACACGATCAGATACAAACACAACACTAGGGAAGGATGCAGGATGCCCCTTCCCATGCAACCCTAAAGAGATGGAGAGTAGAGTAGAGTGAAAGGGAGAGCTTTAAGACGCCCCCGTCCTGTAATGCTTGCAGCTTCAGCAACATCTACCTCCAGCCCATGCCATGCCGATTAATTGAACGGAATTGTTATCCTATGAAGATGAATGTACAAGGCCAGGATTTCATGTTGCAGGAATTCTGCGTTCTTGAGTGCTTGCATCACAGTAATCTTCAAATGCAAGAGGCCTGACCTCGTTGTACGAGAAAGACTGGTATGTTACCAGTAAATAGTCACTCTACTCACCAACAAAGGGCCTGTAACAACTATCCAGTTTCACCAACGAGCACATAAGACCATCCCCTACAATAAAAATCAATACATACTGCTAGTGAAGTGTCATGAACAGTATGCAAAGAGCTTATTCCAAAGTGTTTATGTGTTGGGGTGTGTGGGTAGATGTATGTATGTATGTATGTATGTATGTATGTAAATATGTATGTATGTATGTAAGTATGTATGTATGTATGTGTGTCAAGGTGTCTTAAATCTTATCTTGGCACGGTCACCGCTAATTCGCTATAATGTCGCAGCCGTGACAGTGTGTGTGTGTGTGTGTGTGTGTGGTATCTCAGTGGGTGAACACTATAGAATCGACATTACTCTGCATAAGTACAAGCACGCACGCACACATACACACACACACACACACACAAACAAACACACGTGCATCCACGTCACGATGTAAGTGCAATAATCTTGGATGCTACGTTAAACCCCATTTCACCTCGCCTCACCATAGTCATAATAAATATCTTCCAAAGTGTCGATTGCACGATTCCGACTTTATCACGAGCATGTGTTTAAGAATCACTATCACACAGTGATGATACAAGGTGTCCGCGAAAAGGTGAACTGAAACTGAAAGTCATGGAATTTGTCACAGGTTTCTTGGGCAACTTTATGACATATATCGTTTTTACAATCATTCAGTTAATGAAGTGAATTTTGAAAATCGTCATGCCAAGATGAAATATAACTCTTAGCTGGTGAATCACAAGCATTGGTGGTATGGCATTTCATCGTTGCCCAGGCAAGATTTGTCGACTTTGGGCGCAATGTTGGTGACATGGCACCACTAGAGATCGGCCAAGATCAGGAAGCCCCTACATCACCAGCAGAATCCGAGCAAAAAGGGTTTATATTGACGATATTTGACCTCAGATTAATCAACTTCAGTAGTTGCAGTGATGTCGATTACATCATCAAATGAGGCTTGGCATAGCATCCTGTTTGATGACGAATTATGTTTCCTTCAAGGAGAGATGGGAGGATCCTTGTGTATCAATGACAGAATAAGCGTTATGTCAGCACGACAGAAGTGTACGTCAATGTCAACGAGGGCCAGTTAATGTGCAGCAATTTTACCAAAATCTTCAGGTAGAATGGGCGGACATTCCACAAGGTGTCACCCACAGGCTTCTTTGTTTCACGGCGGGAGGAGTCGTGCAGTTCTTCAGGCGAGTAGTGCACACGCATTGTACTAGGCTTTACGACTGCCGTGCTTGAGATAGCACAAACTTCTCCATTTGAGATTGATCTTTTCTATGTAATCTTTCAAACACATACATATCCCGCGTATGGCCTTTAAGTCATGTAGATGTCACAGATTGAATCCCTTTAAAACCACATGTTCGTTTCTTTGTGGGGTGACAGTAAATAGGTAGATTTGTTTGTTTGCCGCACTCAACAATATTCCAGCTATATGACGGCCTAAGTAGGTAGAATACATAGTGTACACAAGAGAACAATTCATATACTCGACTTTTGGACTAGGTAGTTACAATGATTATAATGATGATGTATATTGTGGCGGTGATTGTGGTGGTGATGATGTTTATGTTGTTGCGAGAATTGGAATGCCATAAGGCTTGGGAAGTATCTTTAAGAACATATTGTCTCATTTGCGACATTGTTGACTGTTTTCATATAAAGTATTACTTAAATTCCTCCAAACATTTCTGTCTCTAGGTATCAACTCTATAAGGTAAAACTAATTGACTATAGCATTCCATTTAATATGAACTACGTCTCCTTTGAACACTAATAAAAACGTTTCTAAAATGAGTCAAAATCTTACGTGGGTCAACAGGTCCGACACATCCACACACATTGAAAGCCTTCATCTGAACACACTCTATTAAGCAATGTTTGTAGGTGTATGGGGAGTAGTACTTGAGAGGGTTGACAAACTCGGGACTGTTTGTGTCCACACATTTAATATCATCAAATGCCGTGTAGGGAGAGGGCTGGTACAGATACTACAAACAAAGCCACAAGTTATTCATATTTTCTTTGCTTCTATGTCAAGGGTCAGAAGAATGTTAATGTGCGAGTATTGACATTGTATCAGTAAGATAAAACAAAACCCGTTTCATAATAAGGTCACGAAAGATTTTCATTATTGTACCATATGACTCTAATGTTCGGTCATTTATCAAACTTTGTACAAAAGTCCTTGAAAGTCGTTTATGGCATTAAATACAAAATGACATCCTAAAACGAGCAACTATACATCATCAATGGGAATTGACAACATATACATTACATGTGTAAAACAAGTAAAGAACACAGTTGACTGGACGTGAAAGTAAATGTGTATAAATATCTGTAACAGAGGAAGAGATATTCAAAAGTATCTCACTGTGGCCATTCTTCATTGGAGCTGTCAACTTTTTCCGGGGCATAAGAAAGATGCGTCTTTGATGAAAAGGCTGCTATTGAAAACATATAACTTTGCAATCATAGTAGTTATTCAGAAGTACCCACCTGAGTCTTTTGCAAGGCAACATATGTAGAGAACCCGGGAGCGGCCATCACGACAGTGGTGCTTGCGTCTGGGTGTAGACGTGGATTATGGAGTGAAACCTGCATATTCACACAGGACTTTCTTATTGTGTCCATTTTACATTATTACATTGTGATCTACACATCTATTCTGCTTTTATCACACCCAAAATACGTCACAGTGTATTCATACACGTATCTCTATGAAAAGAGACAAATTCATACCAAACTGCTACAGTGTTTGCAGGGTGTGCGTTTTACTTGGCTCCTGTCTAACGAGACGGATATAGGGCTGGAACCAGTTTATGGATGAGCACTTCCTGTCCTGCCAGAAGCACCCTCCCTCAATAAAGGTCGAGAGTATTACAGAGTTGAACTGAACCAACTGAGAAACGTGTAGTTGCATTGCACAATCGATTAAAGTACTAACTGCACTACATGCACAAATGTTTGTTTGTTTGTTGTTTAAAGCACCCAGCAATATTCCAACTTTATGAAGGCGGTCTGTAAATAATCGAGTCTTGATTAGACAATCCAGTGATTGACACCAAGAGCATCGATCTACGCAACTGGGATATGATGACATGCATCAGCCAAGCACCACCCTATACAGTTGGTCGCATCTTACGACAAGCATAGTTGCCTTTTAAGGGTTGCTGAAGACCAATACATTATTTTATGTATGTAAACGTAGATTCACTCAGTTCTAATGCGATGTATAAGGGGTGTGTAAACCATGACAGTTTATGCAATGTGAAATGTATCACCTTGTTTTAACACTGAAGGATACATTAGATATTTATTTGTCAGTTTGGCAGATGTTAAAAGGGCGTAAATCTAACCTTTGTTACTTTGAGAAGACGTGATTTACCTTAATCCCCGCGGCCATGTTTCCCCTGAATGTGTAGTCGTTCTGACTGATCTTGAAAATGATGATGAGGTTCGCACCCTCACCTGCCGTCCTAACTTTGACAATATCACTGGCATTGTAGTTGAAGGTATGGCACAGTCCTTCAGTAGTGAAAACAGGTCGGAACCTGGTCATGCAATCAAAGATTTCACCACCAAAGATACATTGATACAGCATCTTGGATCCTTCCATAGACATATTCTTCCACCATTCTAAAGACAATGGTTCCTGAAACACCTCTGAAGTTGGTGCAGAAAATGAGATATTTTGTATCCGTCCAAAAGAAACATTGAAAAAATAGGCCTCCATTTCTGGGTAAACGCCAAGACGAGTGTTGTTGAGAGTGCATCTGTTGCAGATGGTGACGGCGGGGAACTCGATGGAGCTCTGGATACTGGGAGTGACCTTGGTGACGGTTGGGTAGCTGTAGTAGTTTCCTATCTCCCCCACAAGGTTATAGATGAGGAACGCCAAACTTGAACACAGAGCAAGCATCCACAGCAATCTGTCCAAGGAAGAAGACGAGAGTGAGTATTCTTAAGTTGTTGGGGTATGGCATGTATATGTCACAGAGCCTTTCATAGTGTAATTCGATTTATAGTAGATGCACCAATGATCGACCTGCGGATTTTGCAGTTACACATGCAAAGTAGTACCGCTACCTTGTAATATCTAATACTTACAACGCTGTAGGAGACAAATGCGAAATGGCGATTGGTTGATTGTTATTCCAAAGGAAATAATCTTGGGTAACGTTAGCCTTTCGCTAACATATAGAATCCAAGCAATTTTAAAACACAAAGGTTTTCGTCACTTCCATTGTTTGTCAAAGAACTGCAATAGCCGTAACTCATTCATCGATTCGTATACATGGGCCAATGTCCAGAAATCAATACAAGGATTCTAGTGATAAGATGATAAAGTCCCAATCCAAAAGAGAGTCGTTCACTTGGACGGAATAGGCAATTGGAATAGACCTTTTTGCAGAGAGATGAGAAAATATTACACAAAATACTGAAAGCGTTTAAAAGAAAATGGAAGTTTAGAAAATACACGAATGTTCTGTCTTCGCAACAGTATATAAAATAGTCATAACATATAGATGACATACTTAAAAGGACAGTACGTCGACGGTTCTGTGTGTTTTGTTGATCATGCACATTTAATTCTTGAACGAAAACAATAGAACACCACACAATGAAGTTGTCAACGAAAGCGATGTGCAGAGTACACTGGCTTGTCGTGTTTCTTAAATGTATTTGAGGCAAATTGGAGAGAAGACTCGTGTGACTTTCCTATTGCCATAAGTGTTAGATTAGAAGCCATTGTTAATCAAAGTCTAGATTACATTGTAAATATGCCACCCACAGTTCCTAAGAGCCAGCCAAGTTTCTATGTCACATCGTCAAATCTTACACAGTCCATTCATGTGTTTTTCATCTGTTTCATTTCGGACGAGTCAACACATTCAGGTAAACAAAACGTTCAATGAGACAAAATCCTAAAACATAAAAAAACCTATTTTCATTTGCGTACTTATCCTCCATGTGCTGTCATCAAAGCCCAGCGGAGAGCTGGCGATAGTCAAGTTGATGTGTATAGTTGTATTGTCCTACAAATGTGGTGTGCTCAATGGAGCAGAAAACAAGGCGGGCAGATTCGAGTTATCGGCTCTTGTTTACAAATCAAAGCTTCAGAACGGTCGACGGCCTGTCCCCTAAATCACAAACGTAGAAGTGAAGGTAAATACTCACCTTATGATATTTGAAAATAATAAACTACAAAGCATATGAAGAGAAAGTTCGAGCATATAAAATCGAAAAATTCTATGATGGCTTTAAAGACATAAACTCATAAACATAAAAGACAGCAAAATGAGACACTGATTATTTGGAATAAGTGAACATAGTGAGTGAGTGAGTGAGTATGGTTTTACGCCGCTTTTAGCAATATTCCAGCAATAACACGGCGGGGGACACCAGAAATGGGCTTCACACATTGTACCCTTGTCGGGAATCGAACCCGGGTCCTCGGCGTGACGAGCAAACGCTTTAACCACTAGGCTACCCGACCGCCCCTAAGTGAACATGGGTAACATCTTTATGATAATATAAATGACAGACGAAATTACAGACTACAGACCTACATTGTGTTGAAAACGACAATATTATCGATTGTTTTGGTATATTTGTATTTTGCATCATTACAGGTTGGATTACGTTGGTTAACATGCATCTACCCACAAGTAAACTTTAGAACAAGAAAATAACTCTTTTTAAAAGCAATCGAAAATGTATGGAGCTGGAGTGGTACAACAGATACATTCTTTACACTGGTACAGAATAAGATCATTTAAAACCATGAGTGCTAGCATTTAGTGTTCTAATGAGAACAGTTCGATGTTTTGGATACTGTTTTAACTACAGCTACTGATACTGTTAATTTGGGGAATGTCTTATCTTTACTGTATGAAGTGGAAATTCAGTGTATCTATGAACAAAACTGTTGTATGTGGTAGTGGTAATCTTAAGATTAATAAAGTCTCATTCAAATACGGACATTAAAATATTATAGAAATATTTCTGTTTTCCCGACTCGATTACTACAGGCCACCGTTATATAGCTGTGAAGTTACAAAAGAAAGAAAAAAAGAAAGAAACAACGAAACAAATATGCATAGGTTAAGTACAACGACACCTACCCACGAATGCTAAACGGGCTGATCGAAGGAGGTTTAACCTTGTCAACTGCATGAAGGCCTGTCGATTGACTGAATTCGATCCATAGATCTTTCAATCCGTACTTTGGCGAGCGCCGGTCTGCATCAAACTTGACAGTCTCCGTCTTGTTCTCATCCACACTCATTGTTTCTGTAGGCGAAAGTTTATTTCGTGGTGAGGCCCCAATCACTTACAGAAATATTCATGGCTTATATCGTTACAAGTAGGTTATTTTTACCATACTGAAACAGGTAGAGCTTGACCTTCAATCTCAACGCTGGCACTCGTAGGGTCAACGCCTGGTGTTATCACTTTCAACTGTTATACATAAGATTACAAATAAGCGTAATCAGATATAATTAACTGTTAACAAGATGGTGAAACAATATTTAAAACTGACTTGACTAAACGTATCGTCATTATTATTCACAGTTACTTTCGTCATTTTATGTCCACATTTCATCGGGCACTTCAAACGTTCTTCTGAATATATGCTATATATTATTCTGCACAATACCATGGCTATCAAGAAAACAGCGTTATCGCCATCCCCCCGCCAAGTAAGTGAGTGAGTGAGTTTACACAGCTTTGAACATTACTCCAGTTATATCACGGCGTGTCAGCTTAATGTCGGAGGAAAGGTCAAGTAATGTAGGTTTTACCACATTTGACAAACCCGCAGACACGGGTATGATACTGACAAACCTAGGAACATAATTGGGCGAACCGGGATTTCAATCCATGATTTTAGGTTTCTGGCGCGCCAAAGGGACGCAACCTTGCACAGCAAATTGCGGAGCCTTAGACGACTGGGCCACCAGTGTCCACGCCACGCAAAAGGCCCTGCTACAACCCTAGTGTTCACCTAAACCTATGTGTACCTTTGAACGTTAACGGGTACAACTGCATTCCCTAGTGTAAACACGTGAATACTTAGCATTACATGCGCAACTGTTTGTGTCACTGAAACACTCTGGGTTGATATTGCAACCGCTTGTGTTAACTACTGAACACTAAGGGTTGATGCTGTGCATACATCGTGCATTTTCTCAGGTGAGAGGTGAAACTGGTCTTCGGGACATTTGGACCTTATAAAGCAGATTACAATTCACTTATTAACTTTCTATGTTGAGAAAATTGACAAAAAATCCTTGAATTTCTTGTATCACTGCTCAGAATACCCCCAAAATAACTCTCGTCATTTGTTCTTTTAAAATATGAAAAAACATTTATAAAATGTGTGATTATTTTGTTTTAAATGTGTATAACATTTTAAAACATAACCATTCATCTTTTCGTAAAGTAGTGCTGCATCTCAAAAGATTGTACACCTTCTTTTGATATTACTATTTTATATCAAACAATAAGAGTCCTATTTAAATAGCCACAATAAGCACATGTTTTTTGACAGGATTTATACGCCACCACCGCCGCATTTTTATTCTCTACCTCAAGGTTTATGGCCATGATATACCATATATGAGTCATGAGGGAAAGCGTTTGACGCATGCAATGTTGAAGACCACCATCACTGGAATGTCAATGTGTTCGATTTTTCTCTTTTCTCTTCTTGTCAATAACTGAGAAACGGGCAAACTTGCTGGGTGTTGGGAACACTCGTCTCAACATGTTTTACCAAGATAGAGTAACGTACCCAAGCTCGAAAATATTATAAGAAGCACCAATTTCATCAATTTACGACCACAATATGAGAGTTAGAACAATGTCCCTAAAAATACCAAAGTGAAAGCGGCTTTGACCTTGGGCCCTTATATCAATCCTACTGCCCTTGGCTACACAACCCACACCCTTCACCCGCTCCCCCATCCACACCCACACTCCCACTCCCACTCACTTGCAAACCCACAAATACTTAAACCTCACCCAGGACCTCCTCTCTTCCTGCAACGGTTTTGATCTTACATAAACGACAACTAACAGTTGTTAGTGTCCACAGTTACACTAAGGTTAGGTGAACACAAGAAGTTGTGACAAGGCCCCTTCTCTGGAATAAATATTTTATGGCACCAATCTTCGAACTCAAGTCATGATAAGTATGGGTTCTCTTAGATCAGCTGTGACTTCAGTAGGTTCTGAGAAAACTTGTCCCCATTGTGGATACTATGCACTATGAAATGATAAGAAGGCCCAAAACTGTTGGCCCAAAACTAAGTTAACGCATCAATTTTCCGCTCATTCTTGACAAGTATCTCTTACATAAGCATGTAACTTCAGAAGTCCCTGAGAAGCTTGTACCCATTCACTCAGTATGCACAAAGTTGAAAAATTATCAAGGGCCATAACTCTGTGGTATTGACTATAAGACACCACTTTTCAAACTCGTTTGAGATCGTGACCAGTAACATGAGTGTGTACAAATTCATTTCTATAACTAGGTTTTGAGACAATTCGTCCCCAATGAGGAACGGAGGGATGGACGAACTCTGTTCCAATAAGTAGCCTTTAAGACTAGTATTCTGCTTTATGTGCATATAGTGTAGATGGGTGTAGGTAATAGGACACCTTTACTATCTATATATGACATGACACCATTTGTGTGAATATATGACTAGAATAACTGTGAACAATATATTCATATATATGACAAAGAGACGAAAACCTTACCTTCTGTTTGAATGTCATTATTCCACCAAAGTTAATGTAAATATAAAACTACTTACAATCTTGTATATAACGTAAAGACTGACAACTTACATGGTGTTTGAATACCACTGCACCGTCAAAGTTAATCTAAGTATGAAACTAGGATCTGCTTCTGTTAAAAATTTATTGACTTTACCTTTTCTCGGCTGTTTTCACTTCCTACTCCGCTTAAGTTCAGTCCGACCTTCAATGCAGGTATGTATGTTACACGGACGCCAGTGTTGTCTGACAGATCTACAACAGCCGGTCTGTAAACTACTTGTGCTGGATGGACCCAAGAGATTCAAATGCATTTTGCAACCGTCACGGCTGAAGCTGGTTACTGATCAACAAATATTGAACGAACGAGAGACAATACCGTCCAATAAATGATTTTTACGAACACAAATACACCCAGCATAAATTTAGAGTGTTGTAACAATAATGAGAAGAGCATACTAATGGTTCAATTTCCCATGCGTAAAGTAAACACTGACAACGGCCATGATTCGTGCATGAAAGCTAATTTGGAGACGGATTGAAGAAAATATGTTTGTCATTGGTATTGAGCTTCCCAAAGGCTGTTTGACATTTGTCTCTGTCCATAGTGTCTGACTTTGAATATCAATCAGATGGTAAAGAAATGAATGGATCATTGAAAATCAGTGAAGTGATCAAGCAGAGCCTGTTCTGCTCTACCTGTTCCACCTACCTCTCACCCAATAGCAATAAAATATGGAAGGATCATTTGTAAGGGGAGTTAAAACTCAATGTGTAGGTCATCGCAAGGCCTAGCATCGCCGCCCAGTGTTTTACATATCATTCCCGGTAGGACTTCAGCAGGGATTTGACTGAAAAGCTGAGTTGAAAGCAAAATGTGTCTAAGAGAGAGGATGTCCATAGTTGACTGACTGAATTAATACTGCATTATCCAGCATCAGCAGTTTTGCAGCTATTAACAACGAGAGCCTGGTCATTTAACTTTATCATTATGACATTAAGAACAAACTAAGAAGCATGATGTCGAAGTTCACATAAAACGACAGTCAAATAATAGAGACAAAGCAGAGAAAAGCAATTACAATTTGAGACTGAAATTTATATTCGATACATTTCTTTAAGGAATCTTAACTTCTTACGTTTATGATTTTTAGTAAAAGAGAACATGCGCGAGGACCATAATCTATGATGGCAATTTCTTCAATACTGACGCTCACTGGATTGTCTGGTCCAAATTCGATTATGTTCAGACCGCCATCATGTAGCTCGAATATTGCTGAGTGCGGCGTTAAACAACAACAAACCAACCAACCATTACTGACGCGTCAGGTAACCATGGTTTCAGAGATTTTTTAAGGGGTCGTTGGACGAATTTCTATGGCCGACAGAATGGGTGCAGAATAGATGGACTAAGGGTATCAGTATGTTGGTGCTGTTTCCAATTGTACTGGCAGTTTTCATTGTTGAATAAACTGAGTCACCGAGCCTGACCACTGAAGCCCGTTCGTCGCCTCTTACGACAAGCACGGATTGCACAACACAAATTCTTCTTGATACTGGCAGTAGTACTACTGAGAAAACATTTAAAAAAAGCAAGCGAGTTTTGCTTGTATGTGGCCTCCAAGCTGTGGTAGCAATTATCAATAAAAAAAATCAACAAAACCACTTCGAGTTGCACATTGATTAGACGCCTGATACCAGGTGATCCTGGAAAAGCGAACGTTACCTGTCCCCCCTTTGCTACCCATCACAATTTCATGCAAAGGCAAGTCAAGTATTGGACGTACAAAAACACGGGGACATGTGGTACAAATAAAAAAGGACATAATTTATGTCACTGATGCGTCAATTTAGAAATGTCCTCCACATGTGTCTACCATGAAACGTTTTGAAAACATTACTGAGGCCTTAAATCTTGATCAAATAACTTTTGAGCAAGCGTCGTATGATGCTCTTTGAAACCTCCGTAGAAGGAGAACAGATTTGTACCTGAAACATTGTGAAATGTAGACATCAAAAGCTAGAGCTGCAGGAATATTGTTCCACATAGAGGGAAAGTTGACTATTGGAAAGTTGAACTCACTTGACAGTCTTTTCGTCCCTCTTAATCTTTATACACAGATCTAAATGATGAGGCGGTCCCATGCATCTCTTTTCTTTTACTTCTAGTTCAAGTAGGTAAATCGGTGGAAAGAAATTGGCTATTTGATTGTTAAACATTTGGCCAATTTCCCTTGTGTTGATTTTTGCAAATCCGAGCAGAAATCTCCATTTATATGCATAAGGAAGCAGAGCAGCTAAAAGGGAAGCACACCTTGGATACGAGTGGATAATGCTACATGGATCAAGGTATTAACTTTTCCTGAAGCTTGCCGTGTGGGATAATAGTGTACAAAGTGGAAAACCAAAGGTTTTGGACAGATTTGGTTCTATTCTGAGACTGCACCAATGGCAAATCGCTAAACTTCAAGCAAATCCTTCTGGTATTAATTTTACTTCTCTCAAATACTTTCTGCGAAAATAAAGAAAATCCGTTCTTGATAATATAAAGGATTATGGTTTATCTTGGCAGCACTTAAAATAGGAGGATACAATATGAGTTAAGTCCCGATGGCGTCAGTTGCCGTTTGACAAGCTGTTGCTACAATGTAGTAATTTGATAAGTATTTTAATGTCCTGGCCGAGATCATGCAAGTGTGGTCTTTGGAATTTTGGATATTGAAAATTGAAATAGAAGAGCATGAGCTTGGTCATATGGACAGGAAATCTTCAGATCGGAACACATCCAGACGTTGTGATGGTACAGACGAAACAGAAGCGCATGAACTTGGTCATATGGACAGGAAATGTTCAGATCAGAACACATTCAGACGTTATAATCGTACAGACTAAACAGAAGAGCATGAACTTGTTCATATTAACAGGATGAATGCAGATGAGAATACATCCAGACGTTGTAATGGTACGGATGAAATGGAAGAACATCAGCTTGATCATATGGACAGGAGACATTCAGATCAGAATACTTTCAGACGCAGTGATGGTGAAGACGGCATAGAAGAACATCTGCTTGGTCATATGGACAGGAGACATTTGATCGGAACACATTCAGACGTTGTGATGGTGCAGACGATACGGAAGAACATGAGCTTGGTCATATGGACTGGGCAGGATACATTCAGATCACAACACTGAGAGTGGCCAATTATTCAGCTAATAATGCCAAAGCACTTGATGACTTCTCAATTTCCCCATGTGAATGTCAAAATGCTATTCAAAGTATGCCTTATATCAGATTACTTGACTTTTATATAAACAGAGTGCAGAAGACATCTGTGAATTTTGAAATCCAGTGGACTTTGTGAAGAAACTTTACTACATGTGGAGCACCAAGGCTTTCAATAATTCTAATAGTACCCTGAGATGGATCATTCTGTGAAATGTTTCAAGTTTCAATTACAAGTGCCTGTGCACAGCATCCGAGTGTATTTTATTCTGATATGGGGGTCAGAAAGATTTATTGTACTATTGCTATCTGTGACAAGGATCAGATTGAGGGACCCCCAATCTACATTTTTATGGCTTTTGTATGTGGAATATGTAATTCCTGTGGGGTTTGAGTTACGTTCTAGGCGATAACAAAATAACCACTTGGGCATTTATTTGAACAAATGTTCGTAAACTGCAAACTCTGCATCACCTCATGATTGTATTATTATTCATGTTAGTTGAAATGCTAATCCATAACAGAGGATTGAAGTATAATAACAAAGGTTGGAAAACCCAGCAGAGCAGAGGTGCGTACTCCAACGTCCTCGCTTTGTCGCATCTCTCCTATAAAATGTTTATGTGACATAGACTCTGGGAGAAATTCAGTTGTACTGCCGCGTGTGTTCCCCGGAGAAGTTCCAAGGCTGGAGTTGTTGCCAATCTGTGAAGATATAAGCTGGTGATGTTTGAACCGATGTCCATGACACAGATTTTGTCATTTTGGGAACTGTATATTCCAGTTAGATTTAATTCCCTCTGTGTATTTAGATTAGGGCAGTTGTATCTTAGTACTAACTAGTTTGCTATCAGTGTTGCTAACTTGTGACTATTCACCTGGCAGCTGTATTTTAGACTGTGTGAGTTCACCTTGTATCAGCTTAAATATTATCTACTTAAAAATTTAATGCTTTTGCTTGGTTTATTGATTAGTGTTAATAAATCTCTATACTTCAGTTTAGTTAATCTTTATCAATACCAATCGGTCATAAATGTGAATATATTTTTCGTCTTCTCAAGGCTGTATACTCACGTCCTTTCGCTATTCGTAGTCATCATCTGGTCTGTCTGGCCATCTGTTGATACGTCTATCTCGTTTCCGGAAAATAACTTGAAAACCGTAAATGATTTTTTATTAACCAGAGGCTGAATTGGTGCCTTTTGCTATTTTGGACTTTTGTCAAAAATTCATTTTGCCCTGTTCCACGGAAACAAGTTAGACAGCTGAGGGTGGTGTTGTTTCCGAAAGCAGAACTAGAGACCTTTTCAAGATTTGTCATCCAAACTTCTGTTTCTGGTTCTGTTTCAATGGCAAGAAGTTTAATTTTGACTCTGTTCATAGTGGTGTGTTTGTCCAGATCATATCTTTAAAATATAGAGGTATGCTTTTTTAAACTGCACAGACCAAACCCAGACTGTCGACTGATGACTTTTGCTATTTAGCTATTTTTAGAATTCATATTTTTAAGTTTGACTTTGGTGTGTACAAAAGAAGTACAAAGTTCGGATTCCTAATTCCATTGTACTGTTCAGATAGCTCACTAACTACGAATGTATACGGACAGACAGATTAGATAGAAATTCACTCATTAAGTTGGACTCAAAGTAACAGTCAGATGATTTGTTCTTTCGAATTTGTGGGGGCTGGGGGATTTGTCATCTTCTGTTGACCCTTGTTGACAATTTCAAGTCGTCTTCTCAGTGGGTGAGGCGTTACTCTAGCGTAGACTGCGTCTTTTTCTGTACAGAACATTTAAGACATGGACTTGGTATAAAGGGAAACGAATGGAAATGACAGTATGGGAACTCCACATACAATGCAGACCTATTTTCTGGAAGCCTGTGATTAACTGAATCAGAATGCCCAAGGTCTAACCAAAAGCTAGAATACATGTGTCCAATAGTCACATACCAACAGTGGATGATATTTCTATGTTGTGTGAAGCACCGTACACATGCCTCATAACCATGCACATGTGCCATAAACACATGCTCATGATCTCATGCACTCAACTCTGCTTTTCGCAGAGATTGTTTCTGCTGTAGATTAGGTTATATGTAGAGGCAGTACGCTCGTTTCACAGCTCTCAGTGTTTCACGAAATTCATGCATTTATCAACAGACTACAGAC